CGGGATTTTGGGGACATTCCCAGTTTGGGGTGGGGACATTCCCAGTTTGGGATGGGGACATTCCCAGTGTCCCCAGTTTGGGATGGGGACATTCCCAGTGTCCCCAGTTTGGGATGGGGACATTTCCCTGCAGAGCAAAGCGCGGCTGAGGGGACGAAGGGGGGGTGGATGGAGGGCGGTGTCCCCAAATTTGTCCCCAGGTCTGTCCCCAGGTTTATCCCCAGGTCTGTCCCCAGGTCTGTCCCCAGGTCTGTCCCCAAATTTGTCCCCAGGTCTGTCCCCAGGTCTGTCCCCAGGTTTGTCCCCAGGTCTGTCCCCAGGTCTGTCCCCCGGTCTGTCCCCAGGTCTGTCCCCAGGTCTGTCCCCAGGTCTGTCCCCAGGTCTGTCCCCAGGTCTGTCCCCAGGTCTGTCCCCAGGTCTGTCCCCAGGCCAGCAGGGGCCGGTGGCCCGAGGCTCCAGCCGGGACCGAATGTCCCCAGGAGGTGACAAGGGGCGGGAGGTGACAATCCCCGCTGCCACCTCGGGGACAAGCGGCTCCTTCTATGGCTGGGGACAGCGGGGTCACCAAAAATAGCGCGGAGGGGACAAGGGGGTGGCACCGGGGGTGGCACCGGGGGTGGCACGGCGGGATGTCACCAGGGTGTCACCACGGGATGTCCCAAATCCAGGTGGGGGCTGTGGGGTGGGAGGGGACAGCGCCACAAGGTCACCGAGGGCAGGGGATGTCACCGAGGGCAGGGGATGTCACCGAGGGCAGGGGATGTCACCGAGGGTCGGGGATGTCACCAAGGCTGCCCGGGGATGTCACCGAGGCTGCCCGGGGATGTCACCAAGGCTGCCCGGGGATGTCACCGAGGCACGGGCAGGCAGCGGGCAGGGACAGGGAATGTCACACAGCGAGGGGTGGCAGCGCTCCCGGCATGGGGACAGTGACACCGGGCTGGCTGTGCCTGTCCTGTCCCCAGCAGTGACACCGGGCTGGCTGTGCCTGTGTCCCCTCTGTCCCCAGCAGTGACACCGGGCTGGCTGTGCCTGTCCCTGTCCCCAGCAGTGACACCGGGCTGGCTGTGCCTGTGTCCCCTCTGTCCCCAGCAGTGACACCGGGCTGGCTGTGCCTGTCCCCAGCAGTGACACCGGGCTGGCTGTGCCTGTCCCTGTCCCCAGCAGTGACACCGGGCTGGCTGTGCCTGTCCTGTCCCCCGTGTCCCCTCTGTGTCCCCTCTGTGTCCCCTCTGTCCCCAGGCCGGGTGGCCCTGGCTGCTGTCACAGCTCGGGGACAGCGCTGAGAGCCGGGCGCCCCCGGGGCTGGCCCAGCAGTTAATGAGTTAATGAGTTAATGAGCTCCGGAGTTAATGAGTCGAGTTAATGAGCTCAGGAGTTCATGAGTTAATGGCCCCGAGGCCACCGCGTGTCCCCAAGTGCCACCACCACCCCCCGGCGGCCGGGGCAGCTGGAAAAGCTTTTCCAGGAGGAGAATTCCCAAAATCCCACCTGAACCTCTCCTGGAGGAGCTGAGGCCGTTCCCTCTCATCCCAAAATCCCCAAAAATCCCAAATCCCAAAATTCCCAAATCCCAAAATTCCCAAATCCCAAAATCCTTCATTCCCAAATCCCAAAATCCCCAAATCCCCAAATCCCAAAATCCCTCATTCCCAAATCCCCAAATCCCCAAATCCCCAAATCCCTAAATCCCCAAATCCCTAAATCCCCAAATCCCTCATTCCCAAATCCCCAAATCCCTCATTCCCAAATCCCAAAATCCCAAAATTCCCAAATCCCAAAATCCCAAAATCCTTCATTCCCAAATCCCAAAATCCCCAAATCCCTCATTCCCAAATCCCAAATCCCCAAATCCCAAAATTCCCAAATCCCCAAATCCCTCATTCCCAAATCCCAAAATTCCCAAATCCCAAAATCCCAAAATCCTTCATTCCCAAATCCCAAAATCCCCAAATCCCTCATTCCCAAATCCCCAAATCCCCAAATCTCAAAATCCCCAAATCCCCAAATCCCCAAATCCCAAAATCCCAAAATTCCCAAATCCCAAAATCCCTCATTCCCAAATCCCAAAATCCCCAAATCCCCAAATCCCTCATTCCCAAATCCCTCATTCCCAAATCCCTCATTCCCAAATCCCTCATTCCCACTTTTCCCAGCTCCCTCAGCTTTTCCTGCTGCTCCAGATCCCCAAAATCCCCTCATTTTTTACTGAATCCCCAAAAATCTCCCCCAAAATCCTTTTGGGACGGAGGATTTAGGGCAGAGCTGAACTCTCAGCTTTGGGATTTGATCGCATTTCCAGCTTTTTTTTTGGGGATTTTTGACCCCCCCATGACGAGGAAAAAAAAATTTGGGATCGCTCAGCATCCCTAAAAAAATCAGAATTCCTTGTGCTCATCCTTAAATTTAAATATTTCCCATTTCCAATTATTTAATATTTAACTTTAATTTATTTTTAATTTACAATTCCTTAAATTCTTGATTGAATTCTAAAAGCTGCTTCGGATTCGGGATGGATTTTCCATCCCGAATCTTTTCCGTCAGGAAAGGATCCTCAAGGCTGGAATTCAAACAGCCTCAATCCATGGAATTCCAGCTGGGAATTGGATGCAGGAATTTTGGGAATACCGAAGGATCATTTCTTGCTCTGCTTGGGTTTTTTTGGGGGGAAAATCCAACCCCACTTTTGCTTTTTAGCTCCAAAATCCCGGGAATTCCCAGGGAATTTTAGCTCAGAATTCCCCGGGAACGGCGTGGGATGAGATTTTTTGGGAATTTTAAGGGAATAACGTGGCAGCTTTAAAGGTTTAAAGCTTTTTAAAGCTTTTTTTTTCCCCGTGGATTCTTGGATTCCAGGGGTGTTTTTTGTGGGAGAGGAGCCTGGATTCGGGAATTCTGCCTCGCTGTGTCCCGAGGGACACGAATCCATTGGAAATTCCAGCTATTCCAAAGCAAATCCCACTGATTTTGGGTTGGGAATGACCTTAAATCCCAATAATTCCACCCTTATCCCGCTTTCCCAGGCTGCTCCAATTCCTTTCCAACCTCACCTTAAACATTCCAAGGATAATTCATCCCAAAAAATCATCACGGACAAACCCTCGGGGAGCCGGCGCCTCGTGCTTTTCCCTGCAATTACACTACGCACACAACTAATTACGTAATTAATAACGTTTCATTAATTGCAATAAATTATTAATATTTATGCTGCTTGTCCATAGAACCCAGAGCACATTAAAGAGGATATTTGGAATAAATCCAGCAGGGCTGGAGGAGCATTCCTGAAGCTCCCGGTGCTGTTGAGGTGCAAACCCCAAGCTGAGGCCGCTGTTGTTCTATTTAAGGCCAATTTTAACCCAAAACCACAACTCCCAACAGCCGGATCGCTTTGTTTTAGGGTCAAAACGCTGAATTGATGGATTTAAAGGCCTGAATAAAGATGAAATTAAGGCTTGGAGAGGAGGGGAATGGGAACAGCTCCCGCTCCCTCACGATTCCAGGGGCCGGCAGCAGGGCTGTGCTACACACAGCAGCCTCCAGGCAGGGAAACCAAGCGACCACAAGGAGCAGAATTAATAATTAACAGCTTAACAGCCTGGGGGAGTCGTAGAAGTACCCACAGAAGAGTTAAAAATGGCAATAGCAGAATTAAGAGGCAGATCCGAAGCGCGCGAACTCCAGCGCCGCTCTGAGGCGGCGCGCGCCGCCGCCGCGCTTTTATAGCAGGGCGGCTCCCAGCATGCCCCGCGGCAGGGGTCGGCTCCACCCCCCCCTTCCTCCTTTGCACACGGCTCTGACCCCGCGCAGCCGCAGCGCGCCCTGCGTTCCGTGTCCCTCCGCCCGCCGCTCCCGGCGCTCCGCCCGCCGCTCCCGGGCCTCTCCCCGGTGATTTTAGGGGCTTCTTCCCGCTCCTCCCGCTTCGTCCCGGCGGCGGGGGACGCGGGGAGAGCGGCGGCTGCGCGCCGGTGGAGGTAGGAGGCGAGCGGCGGCCGCTTCCCCCCCCTTCTCCCCTCAGAGCGGTGGGGGTTGAGGGGGACGCGCGTAATGGCGGCTGTGAGGGGAGGGGGGGGCGGCTGAGGGGCCCTCATGAGGAGCTTCGGGTTGTGGGTGTTTATTCCTTAATTTTTTTTATCCTATCTTATTTATTCTTTGTCTTTTAGTCCCTTTTATTATTAATTCTTTCTCCTTTTTTCTTCCGGGCGGCGGATAAAACCGCTCCGTAGCTACCGACCTGCAGCGCAGCCCCACAACGGATTTACCACATTTTATACCCGGCACTGATTGAAATGTGGATTTTAGAGATTTTTAATCTGGGCACGGATTGAAATGTGGATTTTTAGAGATTTTAATCTCGCCTTTAGGCGGTTTTTAAGCGTTTTGAAGGGAGGGAAACGCTGCCCCGCTCCTCTCTCTATTTGCTTGCACGTTAAGCAACGCTCAAAGCTTTAAAGCTTTTCAATTAATAACTTCATCAAAGCTTTAAATGTTGAAATTCGATATTTTAACCTTAAAAAAACCCGAGGTTTGGCTGTTGAGAGTTGCGGGTTTGGCTTTAAATCGACCAAAATAAAGCGATAGAAACCTCAGGTTGGGTTTCTACCTCAGGACCTGGACGTGGCCTCAGGCACCTCCTCGTGGTTCGGGGTTTAAAACGCGGCTTTTCCTTCTTTTTTTTTTAACTTTAAAACGGGAATAATTGAGCAGAATTGGGT